CCTAAACAAGAGGGGTGGGCTCTAACACAGGAGAGAGTTGCGCCTGCATACTGGAGTAGGGAGCAGCTAGTCCAGTTGGGAATAGGCTTGATATTTCAGGTCAAAGACAGTACAGGATACCATATCCAGAAGCACCTTTCCTCTGTAGTGAATAGGTGAGCCGAATAAAGGCAGGGGTGCCATCTCTCATGTTGGTGACCCATGGGATGATAGTGCATGTCTGGGCTGAAGCAATGAGACAGGAAGGAAATACGCTTCTCCCCTGTGCCTCTTCTCACCAACATCTTGGCAAGAGAGGTCTACTCCCTGTACTCTACAAGAAATAAGAAATAAGAAAAAATGCTTAAGTAAGAGGCATGCTACATATACACGTTCTTGTAAATCCTTGTAGAGTGCCCCTAGAAGGGCACACAAGAAGCTGGTCACAATGATTGCTTCCACAGAAGGGAACCAGGTAGTTTGGAAATAGGTGGGAGGAAACCTTACTTCTCACTATTTACTTTTTTCTTTTGAGTTTGTACCATATACAAAAGTAAAAATGAAAAAGATATACATGCATACACACCCAAACGCCTAAAAAGAAAGTCAATAGAGGCTATTGCAGTAGTCAGGGGCTGGAGTTGACTGGCTTGCACTAAGGTTATAGCAGCACAGTTGAAGATAAGGGGACGGATTTGAGCAAGACTGGAGGTAGAAAATGGCCACTGTGTGCTAAGTGCTCTCCAGGTACTCAAACCCTAGAGGGAGACACGGTGGGAAAATAAAGTAATAATGGACGCTCATGGAGGGACACTGCATCTGGCCTAAAAGAGACGGGACTGGCTCCTTGCCCTATCCAGCTCTCACACTGAGGCTACCTGGGGAAATGCCCTAATTTTTGATATTGGCTCTGAGAAAGAGGATCAGGCCATCCCCAGGCCATGCCTTGGATTTGTTTGGGAAATAGACTCCACTGGGCTGGCTGAGCCAATTGGGGGCCTAGTTCATGTGCTTGCTCTGTTTTCATAGCCTTCCCTAGAGCTCAGCCCTGGTTTCTCTCTCTGGTTCCTGAGCACTTGCTCTTCAGCTATAACGTTGAGCATCCCTCCTCAGGTGGCCAAGACTAAGCAGCAGATCGAGGAGCAGAGGGTCCAGGTGCAGGTGGTAGAGCGGGCCCAGCAGGTGGCAGTGCAGGAGCAAGAGATCGCCCGCCGAGAGAAGGAGCTGGAGGCCAGAGTGAGGAAGCCCGCAGAAGCAGAGCGTTACAAGCTGGAGCGCCTAGCCGAGGCAGAGAAGTAAACACCCCCCTCCCAGGCCCCCTCCTGACTTCTTCACCACCTGGGCACCCCCCAGATGGAGCTGAGGTCTTCACTTCCTAGACTCCTATGGAACTCAGGTTGCAGGGGCCTCTACCCCCAGCATGAGGGGGCCTTTCTCCCAGGAGCAAAGGCCCCTCTCAGCTCCTCTCTTTACTCCCCTTGTTTGCTCAGGTCCCAGCTGATTATGCAGGCAGAAGCAGAAGCTGAGTCTGTGCGGGTGAGTTAGAAAGTGGCTCTTGCTCACTTGTGGGGGGAGTGGGTGTTGCTGCTGAGCTGGGGTTTCTTGTCCTTAACTGTTGCCGGCATCAGTACAACAATATGCTGTTTTCTCCTCAGATGCGTGGGGAGGCCCAGGCCTTTGCCATAGGGGCCCGAGCCCGGGCAGAGGCTGAGCAGATGGCCAAGAAGGCAGAAGCATTCCAGCTGTACCAGGAGGCTGCTCAGCTGGACATGCTGCTAGAGAAGCTGCCCCAGGTCTGGGGGTTGTGTGGGTACCAGGGAGCAGGGGGTGGGGAAGTGAGGGGCTTAGGGAGAACCAGGTTAGGGGACCACAAATTAGGGGTGAGAGTTATAAGCCAGTGACCAAAGTGAGAAAGGATGATCAGTAGGGCAAGAGTCTTAAACACAGGGTAAGGCGATTTAGGAGAGGTGTGATCAGATCACAGGTGCTAAGTGGGCATCTCACCTACCAGGTGGCAGAGGAGATCAGTGGTCCCTTGACATCGGCCAATAAAATCACAATGGTGTCCAGTGGAAGTGGGGCTGTGGGGGCAGCCAAAGTGACCGGGGAAGTACTGGACATCCTGAGCCGCCTGCCGGAGAGCGTGGAGAGACTCACAGGCATCAGCATCTCTCAGGTGAGGTTCTCCAGGGTGGGGCCTGTGGAGTAGAATTACTGGGTTCCTGTAGTATATGATGCAGCACACTGACATTTATTACTTTTTTTTGTGCCAGACACTGCTGAGCTTCTACACAAATGGTTTTTATTTTAAAAAAAAAAAAAAAAAAAAAAACTTTTAAAAAATCAAACTACCCTTGGGGTATGTAGTATTTTACAAAGTAAAGAAACTGAACTCCAACATGTTAAATAACTTAGCCCATGTCATACAGCCAGGGAAACTGAGCTTCCAACTTGGGCCGGCTGTCTCTAGTGCAAGGAACTAGTTGCAGCCTGTTGACTTTTTTTGTTTGCCTGTTGACATTTAATTCCAAAGTATATCACTGCTTTTCTTGGTGCCTGTTTATTCACCTATAGCTTATGGTAGAAATCAGAGAGTGGGCTCTTGAACCAGACTGTTTTTGTGTGAAACCTAGCTCCAGTGCATGCTGGCTGTGACCTTGGAGAAGTTTTAAACTTCTCTGTACCTGATTCCTTACAAGTTAATAATAGCAACAACCCTGTTGAATTGTTAAGGAGATTAACTAAGTAATATTTAAAAATTGTTTAGAACACTGACTGGCACATAGTTAAGTATACATAAGAGTGTTAAAAAAATACATATAGAAATAAAAGTATTAGACCATTTCAGTGACCTTCAAGCTGGATTGCTTTGGAGCCTCCATGAGGCCTAAAGTGGAGGATTGGGAGCTACGGACGCTTCCACACCCTTTCAGTCATTTGTTGTTTTTCTGTTGCTGCTTTAAACTACTGTATTGAAATATGATTGGTATGTAAAAAGCTGTATATATTTAATGTTTATAATTTGATGAATTTGGAATAAGTACATATCTGTGAAACCATCACCATCATCAAGGTTATAGACATATTATTCATCATCTCCCAAAGTTTCCTCCTGTCATTATTTTGTGGTAAGAATGCTTAACATAAGATCTATCCTCTTAGCAAATTTTAAGTGTATAGTACAGTGTTGTTAGCTATAGGCACTATGCTGTATGGTAGATCTCCAGAATTTATCTTGTTTAACTAAAACTTTGACCATCACCTCTCCATTTCCCTTCCCTAAGCTCCTAGCTCTGCTTCTATGAGTTAACACTATTTTTTTATTTTTTCAATTACAGTTGAACATTATTTCATATTAGCTTCAAGTGTACAGCATAGTAGTTAGGCATTTATATAATTTACACAACGATCCCCCAATTAGTCTGGTACCCACCTAGCACTATACAGTTATTAAAATATTGACTATATTCCCTATGCTATACTTTACATCCTCATGACTATTTTGTAACTGCCAATTTGTACTTCTTAATCCCTTACCCTTTTCACTCAGTCCCACCCCCAATCTGGCATCCATCAGTTTGTTCTCTGTATCTGAGTGTGTTCGTTTTATTCTTTAGATTCCATGTACAAGTGAGATCATATATTTGTCTTTCTCTGACTTATTTAATTTAGCATAATACCTTCTAGGTCTATCTACGTTGTCTTACAGTTAACTCATTGTTATGCATAGAACCTAATGACTGCTTGGCAAAAGAGGGTGAGGTAGGAAAACCAGAAGATTCTTGGAAGTGCATGTCCTCCCTACAGCCCATTTGTCTAAATGAGACCTGGGAGAACATAGCATCTGGTTCCTAGTCGTCATCCACTATTGTCTTTTGCCAGGTGAACCACAAGCCTTTGCGAACAGCCTGAGAGTCTTCAACCTTCGCAGATGCCTAGCTTCATGGTTCAAGTTGCCTGAATGGTCCCCATATTGCATGCATTTCAACTGACCTGAGAATGTCTTTTGACAGTGGGATTCCACCACTCATCTCTCATTGCCAAATAGCCTGTGCCTTCCCTTGGAGGGGAAGGGTTGCTCCCCTTCCCAGGCCCACACCACCAAGACTGCCAGTCCCCTGGGCTCTCATGCCAGCGTTGATAATCCCACCCCACCACAGCTTCAACTTCCTAATTAAACTAAACTGTCTGAGCCTGTTGTCCAGAATTATTTTCTTACCAAGACTGAGGGATGGCTGGAGGTTCTCAAGTGGTCAAATAAATTTGAACTCATGCAAAATGAACATAGCTTGCTCCCTTCCAGTAGGCTTTCAAAAATGGGAAAGTTACTCAGATACTGTAGAGTTGGAGAATTCTCCCCAAAGTTGTTCAGAAAGCATGCCGATGTGGAATGCTGAGAATTGCATTAGTCTCTAGAATTACTGAAAATATCCCAGGTAAATTGACTTAAGTTTCCAGGCAAGCTGAGACTTGTTTTGTACACTTAAAAGCACAAGTTGAGCAGTGTTTAGAATGGGATCTTGCTAAACCCCATACTTTACCTTAGTTGACTAAGAAAACCCCACTGAATTATAGAAAATAGCAAGATACCCATAATGCAAAGGAACCTTGGATGTGCTGTACATTGGGAATAGTACAATGGCTCTAACTTCATTCACATTCTTCTGGAGAGGTTAAAACACTGCTGGGATCTAGCCCACTTCTGGTTCGTATAGCTTGTGGGGCCTGAGAATCTGCATTTCCACAGTTCCAGGTGGGTGTGATGCTATTGGTCTGGGAACCACTTGACATTCATGTTTCCATTTTGATCCCTAGATCCCACATCTAAACTTATGCCTATCCTAGTTAAGACTTGTACTGGTGGTGGCGGGCTGGTTTGGGTACCAGGGATTAAGATATGAGGGGCAATTAAATATTAGGGTATTTTCATCAATTTATGGAGAAAAGCATTTGTGTCAAGTGAACTTGAGCCCCTTGCCTTTACCAGCAAACCTAAAAGAGCACAGCAAATCTTGCAATTATTTTTCAATTCCCATTTATTTTTGGCTCTTGGGGCAATGGCATTTTTTCAATATGAAAAAAAGTTCAACACAAAATAGAAATTTGAAGTGTAGGATTGGACAAAAATCAAAGAGGGGAAGAAAAAGCAATAGCAAAAGAGATGGGATGTCGCCAAAAGATGGTATCCAGTCCCCCCTGGGGGATGACTCAGACATTTAGATGGCAGTACACACTTTCCCATACACATACAAGACTGATTTTCCTTTTTGGGGCTAAGAAAAGGTGGGGCTAGGGCCTTTCTGGAGGCTTAGGGACCAGGATAGTCTCTCTCCCCACTTAACCCCCTTCTACAACCAAAGGAAGGGATCCAATGTTAGAGGGAAAGTGGAAGGGGGAAGGCTTCCACTTGACAGAGTGGGGTAGACCCCTACAAACAGGTCTAGAGCTTAGAGGGAGACTGAAAATGAAGATAATACTGTTAACACCTCCTCCAAAGCTGAGGAGCAATACCTGGAAACTAGGGCTTTGGATCCTAGCATGGATCCCACTAAAACTGCTCTAGATGGGAAACCCTACCCCTTCCTTGTAGGGACTTCTCCCTGCTAGTCAAGGGGGTTTCCTTTTCCCTTACCACATGGACCATCCATCTGGGTTTTCAGCACATGGCTCTAAATGTGATCTGGATGAGACTCAGCTTCTTGGGGAATTATCTTGAAAACAAAGAGGGAAATATTAACTGGACAGATGGGAGAAATGGGCACCAGAAGGAAATACAAGGTTTCCCAAAGTGGAAAGAGAGGAGACATTCAACAAACAACGAATATTTATTGAACACCTGTTATGTGCCAGGCACTGATTTAGAACCCCCCCTAAAAGAAAAAAAGAAAGAAAATGCAAATTCTTAGGGAGAAAAGGGGCAGCTGAAGGCTGAGGGAACTGAGAAGCCTGAGTGATGGGGCTTGGCTTTAGGCTTCCTCTTCGGCCTCCTCACCGAAATCTTCCTCCTCTTCTGCAGTGGCGTCCTGGTACTGCTGGTACTCAGAGACGAGGTCGTTCATGTTGCTCTCAGCCTCGGTGAACTCCATTTCGTCCATGCCCTCACCTGTGTACCAGTGCAGGAAGGCCTTGCGCCGGAACATGGCCGTGAACTGCTCTGAGATGCGCTTGAACAGCTCCTGGATAGCCGTGCTGTTGCCAATGAAGGTAACGGCCATCTTCAGGCCACGGGGTGGGATATCACAGACAGCTGTCTTGACATTGTTGGGGATCCATTCCACAAAATAGCTGCTATTCTTGTTTTGCACGTTGAGCATCTGCTCATCTACCTCCTTCATGGACATCCGTCCACGGAAGACAGCAGCCACGGTGAGGTACCGGCCATGGCGGGGGTCACAGGCAGCCATCATGTTCTTGGCATCAAATACCTGCTGGGTGAGTTCAGGCACAGTGAGGGCCCGATACTGCTGGCTTCCACGGCTGGTTAGGGGGGCAAAGCCAGGCATAAAGAAGTGGAGGCGGGGAAAGGGCACCATGTTGACTGCCAGCTTGCGGAGGTCAGCATTGAGCTGGCCAGGAAAGCGGAGGCAGGTGGTGACACCACTCATGGTGGCTGAGACAAGGTGGTTCAGGTCACCATAGGTTGGTGTTGTCAGCTTGAGGGTGCGGAAGCAGATGTCGTAAAGGGCCTCATTATCAATGCAGTAGGTCTCATCGGTATTCTCTACCAATTGATGGACAGACAGGGTGGCGTTGTAGGGCTCAACCACGGTGTCAGACACTTTGGGTGAGGGCACCACACTGAAGGTGTTCATGATGCGGTCAGGATATTCTTCACGGATCTTGCTGATGAGCAAGGTGCCCATTCCAGAGCCTGTGCCCCCACCTAGTGAATGGGTCAGCTGGAAGCCCTGCAGGCAGTCACAGCTCTCAGCCTCCTTTCGCACCACATCCAGGACCGAGTCAACCAGCTCCGCACCCTCTGTATAGTGGCCCTTGGCCCAGTTGTTGCCTGCCCCAGACTGACCTGGAATGGGGTTAGGAGGCAAGCTTGATTAGTAAAGTGTGGCACATACACAATCACCTTTGCACTTTTCAAATTTTGGAATAATGCCCATGGATTTACCTTCTTTTTCTCCCTCACTTGTGATCTATCCTTCCCCCCAATAACTTACAACCTAAGGCAATCAATCTCCCCACCCTCCATTAGAGATTTCGGAACACAGCCCCATAAAAATCCAGTACAACAATCATTTCCTAACTCTTGTTGTCCCCTCGCAACCAAATAAATTGAACATGACGCTATCTGCAAATATCTGTATAACTCACCAAAAACAAAGTTGTCTGGTCTGAAGATCTGGCCAAAAGGACCTGAGCGAACAGAGTCCATGGTCCCGGGTTCTAGATCCACCAAAATAGCACGAGGAACATATTTTCCACCTAAAGAACACAGAGAAGGGAAGAAAAGAGAAGAGTGAAAACGGGCGGAGGGTAGGTAGGTAAGTAAGTAAACGGGCTGGGGGGCGGCCAGGGACCCAAACTTGTGATTCCAGGCGCTGCCACCAGGTGGCAACAGAGAGTCAGCCTTTGGCCCAGATAGCGGGAAATTAGGTCTCCATAAAGAAAGAATGGGTTCATCCAAAAGAGATAAGGGGTTTTCCTTGCAGAGTTAAGAGACCCCAGAAGTAGGAGCCAAGATGGAACCTGAGTTTCCTAGGCTCCTTCCCTCACCTGTGGCTTCATTGTAATACACGGAGATGCGATCCAACTGCAGGTCACTGTCTCCGTGGTAGGTACCAGTGGGGTCGATGCCATGTTCATCACTGATCACCTCCCAGAACTGTTGGAAAAGAGCAATGAACCCTTGACAGCTCGGGTGCCAGCCTATTATGCTTCCGCCTCCACCATTCTAATTCCAGCCACGCTGTTCTTGGGCCTGGCTTCCCCTATATCTGCCTGCCACGCCCCTCCCCTAGTAGACACCCCCACACCTAGGAAAGCCACAGCTTTCACAGCTGAGGATATGGAACGATGTCCAGCTGCGAGGGCCGGGAAAGCTCAGACACCGTGGTGGGTGGACGGAGGCGGCCGACTCGACTAGTTAAGCGCACCCATCGCTGGCCACCGCCCCTCCACGCCGCACACGAAGCGTGCTAAACGAACTGCGGCAGTAGCCCACCCCCAGGTCTCCACACCACCGAGGCGCTAGCGCGCGCGGAGTCACCAACAAAAGGAGGCGTCATGCGTGGGCGGGGGCCGAGACACAAATTAAGCGCAACGGGCGGAGCCTGGCTCGGGCTAGCGCGCCCCCTGGCGGCCAACAGGCGAGGGCACAGCCCCCGCCCCGCAGGACCCAGCCCTTCTGCTACATCGTAGCAGCCGCACTTCCTTCCTCGCTACACAGTAGCCGCGCGCAAAAAAAAAAAAATCCCACCCCTTAGCGTCGGAATTTTATCCCTTCGCTAGCTTAACCCCTTGCTTAAAATGAGGATTCTCTTCCTTTCTTCCATTTAGTCCCGAGAGGTCCTTTAAAGAAAATGACCCCCCCCTCACCCTGTTTAAGCCCTATAAGGGTCTAAGGAGAAATAAAAGAAACAAAATGAATTCAGCACATATTAGCCTTTCATCCGCGAAAAACTAGGGGTTCGTCCCTCGAAGAGAGCGGGCGCGCGGAGATCACTGGTCTTTTGTGGAAGTAAAGTACAGCGCAGCCCACCCAGGCGCACCGCGCCCACCACCTTTATGGAGTGGGGCTCTGCAGCTGCCCCACCCGTCCCTTCCCCCTCGGGCGGGCCCTACGAAGACCCGCCAAGGGAGATGCACATGGGGAAACCTCGCCTCGCTTTGTCTAGGCCAGTTTCCGCATCTCCCTCTCTCCCAGGCCCTCGGACCGTTAGGAGATCCCCTTTAAGTAAAATCTTGCAGAATCTCGGTCTTCCTGCCCTCTAAATCTCAAGGGTGCTTTTGATAGCTTTCCCCAAAATGACTCTGCCAAGGAAAATAATTGCCCGTTTTTCAAAAGCAAATTCTATCTACAAATGTGTATTGTACATATAAAACTTATTTTTGAAAAATCCTGACTAAGGATGGAAACTGCAAACAGTCCAAAACCATTCTTCATAATTTATCTGGATTTTTTTTTTCCTCTCAAAAAAAAAAAAAAAAAACAGTTAAAAAAGGTTTAAAATCCTTACCTTGGCACCGATCTGGTTGCCACACTGGCCAGCCTGGATGTGCACGATTTCCCTCATAGTTCAAATTAAAATTTTTTTGCTCGCCTCAAGCTGTGTACGGGGCAAGAAAATATGTAATTTTCTTCTCTGCTGCTGGTCACAGGCTAGGAGTATGGGAGTGCCCCGGAGGCTGGAGCAGCGAGGTCCGAACGCGGAGGAAGGAAGGTTCTGAGAGGGAGAAAGGAGAGGGCAGGGCGCAGGAGGGAAGGCGGGGAGGGCGGGTCACGCATGCGCCGGGCCGGGAGGCGGGCGAAGGCTCCCGCGCGGCGCTCCCGAGACAAAGCCTCGGCGAGGCTGGCCCTGATAAGTCGATGCCGGTCAGGTAGCCAACGTCCATTGGTCTCTGTTCGGGTGGACGAGTGCAGTTCTCTCTGGGAGTTGTAGTCCTCTATTGTTGTCCACGCTGCAAAATGAAGGGACGAATGGGTGGATGCTGGGTTTTGGGGTTTTGGTTTTTTTGCGTTTTATGAAAAATGACCTTGCGCAAGATGACTTTCCTCTATACCTGAGGTTTTTTTGTTTGTTTTTAATGAAAAAAGGGAGTCATTTTCGGGGCTAAAGGCATCGGAAACCCTAGGGTGCCAGGCGTTGGAAGGTGGAGTAGGCACGCCCTGAAAGCTCCATGCTGCGGTAGCTCTTGGGAAGACAGAGCCGCTTAGCTCAGCGAAAAATGGGGAGAAATGTAGCACCCTGCTCTGCTACATTTGGTGACCACTAACAGCTGGCCCTTTGGTGACCACTAAGCTGCTGCTCCCCCCGATATCTCAGAAAAAAGGGGGTTCCCTTCTTGCTGTACCTCAGAAAAAAGAAGGGGACTGCCTTCTTGCTATTTTCTTGGGAGTTTTCTAATGATGTTTAGAAAGAGAAACAAACAATTGCAGCAAGGGCTTTGCAGGATAGAGATGTAATTGGAGGGTATATTCAAAGAATAAACGGAATGGTTTAGAGAAGCTGATATCTGGGATCTGTGAAGTGGAAGTCTTCGTCCATGTAAGAGATCTGGACCTCAGAGCACCGTTGAAGACTGTGATCTCATCAGAGAACTATGAGGCGAGATACCTGTTAGAATTTCAGAGTCTTTCCAGCCTGCCTTTAGACACTTTGCTGAAGTCAGTGGTGTTTCAATCCACTGATTTCATTAGGTGGCTGCCATTGCAAATTTTCAAGAGCCTTAGAGCTGAAAAAATGGGGGAAAAGGGGATTCATGGGAGAAAACTGGATGGGCTCAAATCAGAGTGGCATGTTTCTTCTCGGGGTTAACTCACGTGTTAGATACTAAGTGTCTACCAAATCAGGAGCTAGGGATACAAAAATTATTATAAATTAGCTCCCTGGTCCCCAGGCTCTTGCAATTTGGTGAGAAGTGTATAAACAGAGTGGTAAGCACTGTAATAGAGGACATGTGATAGAAAGGTCATCATTGTAAATTCACATAAGATTCAACATCTCTCAATCACCTTCTAAATGAAAATATCGAATTGCGTAAGACTCTCTACCCACTTAAAATAGAATGTTTTACGTTTTAGGGCATGATCACAATAAAAGTTATTTTGTGGTAGTGAGAGAGTTCGGAATTTAGAATCAGAGGACATGTTTCAATCTGTCTCTTACATTAACTGTAGGAACTTAGCCACGTCATTTAACTTCGCGGAGTTTCAATTTCTTCTGTAAAATTCACTTCTGCCTATTTGATTATTGTGGTCAGAATGAAGTGAGGCAGCGAATGCAAAAGGCCTTCCTACATTATACATATGTCAAATTGTTACTATCTTTTAAGTATGAGATAACGAAACAAATGATTTTAGCATCCTTTCTTCACTCCTTGAAAGACCTCGGTAAGCCTTAAGTTGGTTAGCAAAATGGTTCTCGCTTTTGGCCTAGGGACCTTTGCTTTAGGAAAATGACCTCAAAATGTCCATCAGGGCTGTATTCTCAGGGAGGAAATGCCATGACTTCTACTAAACAAGCCAAATCAAAAGGAAATGAACTGCCGTTGCAGTGAGGAGTCCTCAAGCGCCACGCCTGTGGGCTGTTCTCCAAACTGCAGCCTCCGGCCACGATTGCAACCCATTTTCATTTCTCATGAGTCAGCAGCCACCATGTCTGGGAAGACCTAGGAAGGGCGCTCTGGCCGCACTAGATGCATCAAGAGACTATGGTAAGCCCCTCTAGGCGCCGCCGGCAGCGAGACTCTGTGGTCGCGATTTTGATATCTGCGAGGGAAGTGGGCGGTGGGTGGTGAAGCGGGTGCTCCCCTGGAGCTGCCCAATCGAGGTGCGCTGTTCTGTGTGCGTACCGCCGCCTCCACCTCTCTCAACCGATCTGTCTTCCGGGAGAAGCCGCTCCTTTGAGCTGTAAGCGGGTGGGGGAAAGGGCGGGGCTCTGGCTGTGCCTCCGTATCCGGGGCTTTGTCAGTCGCTTTGCATCAGGGCTATGAAAGACAGCGACCGGAACCAATCAGCGAATAGGCTCTGTCCCAGCTAGAGCGCTCGCGCCACCCGGTCGCGGCCGTTACTGGTGGCGCGCGCGGGGACTCAAAGTAGGTGAGTTCTAGGGGGCCTCGCCTGCGGCTCCCCGGGTGCCATCTTGGTTCTCCCGGAGGGCGGGAGGGGCGTGTCTTGGGTGAGACTGGGCGGAGGAGACTTGGAAATTTGCTTCTGGGATTATAATACTCATCCTTACTTGACGCCCCGCCCCGAGTTTAGGTATGAAAACACTGGGAGACCGTTGGGCCAGGAGGGAACCCACCCAGGGTGGGGATCAAAGGTGATGGCCTATTGGCTTGGAGCCAAGTGTCGTGGGCACCCGCTGAGTTCGCCAGTCATAAGGACAGAGTTAGAACTATCTCCATTGGAGGCATCCAACTTTCCCTGTCAACGGTTTCCCCCTAGGGTGGCATCTTTCTAAGTGAATTACACTCATGCTATGTTGTTTTCATGTTGTTTTCATCTGCTTTCATTGGTTCTTTCATTAGTAGATTTGATGACATAACTTCCAGGAGGGCAGGGTTAATATTATGTTTGGTTCGTGAATGTACCCCTAACACTTCGAACGGTACCAGGTGTGGAAACTAGTCGAGTGAATATGATGGACCCTAGGGGAAAAGACACGGTTCTACTGTTCCAGTTCTCGAGGGAGTGTGTGAATTCAGGCAGAAATGGAAAGTAATGGTTACAATATAATGAGAAGTGTCAAGATAGGTAGAAGTCCTTTGACCACTGTGGAACATGGGAATACATCAGGAACACCAGAAAGCAGGGAAAACTCCAGGAAAAGCTTTGCTGAGGAAGTAACATTTGAACCGAATCAGAAAGGATGGGTAGGAATTGGACCAGAAAACTAGGAGAGAAGGGCCAACGAGCTGGTCTAAGGCATGCAGTTGTGGGGGACAATGTGTTCAGAGACCGAGGAGAAGGTCCATGTAGCTAACCATAGACTTTTAGGAGGCAGTGAATACATTGCGGGACATGAGGTTCAGATCATGGAGGCTCTTGCTAAGAAGTTTAGATTTTTATTTTATCCTTTGGGCATGATAAGCCATCAAAGAATATTAAACAGAGGAGAGACCTTATGTGGGAGATCTTGGGCAAATTTCTTAACCCATCTGTGTTGCAGTTTCTTTATCTGAGAAATAGAAGATAATAATACTTTACAAGGTTCTTGTGACAAAAGAGTCGGTTTAGTCTGATCATACTGGGATGGTTTGGTAAAGTGTAAAAAGCATAGGCTTTGCAGCCAGAAACACATTTATTTCTATCCTTTCCACTTACCTGCTATGTTATCTTGAGCAAATTATTTAATATTTTTAGCTTTTGTTTTCTACATGCTTGCCTCATACGGCTTGTATGCCTAATACACAAGACAATGCCCAACACACAGTTGATGCTTGGCAAAAGTTAACTCCCTTTAAAATGTTTTTCAAACTGAGTTGCATCTCTAAAGTGGATGTTGAGATCAATTTAGTGGGTTGCAAATTGGCATTTAAAAATAGAGAATAGAAAAAGCAAAATGAAAACTATCGGTGTATTGTATGTAGTAAGTGTAAAAAGCATAGGCTTTGCAGCAAGAAACACAGTAAGGCTAAGAATTAGTTCTCATATGTTTGTCCATATAAATAAGTATGTGTATATGTATATACAGATGTTCTCCAAGTTATGATGGTTTGACTTATGATTTTTCGACTTTACAATATTGCAAAAGTGATATACATAGTAAATTATGTGAGATATTCAACACTTTATTATAAAATAGGCTTTGCATTAGATGATTTTGCTCAACTGTAGGCTAAAGTAAGTGTTCTGAGCATATTTAAGGTAGGCTGGGCTAAGCTATGATCTTTGGTAGGTTAGGTGTATTAAATGCATTTTCAACTTAATATTTTCAACTTACAGTGGATTTATCGTATCGAATAGTAAATTATGTGAGATATTCAACACTTTATTATAAAATAGGCTTTGCATTAGATGATTTTGCTCAACTGTAGGCTAAAGTAAGTGTTCTGAGCATATTTAAGGTAGGCTGGGCTAAGCTATGATCTTTGGTAGGTTAGGTGTATTAAATGCATTTTCAACTTAATATTTTCAACTTACAGTAGATTTATCGGGATGTGGAGGAGCATCTATTTGTGAACTTGGGACCTTATAATATTTCTGTGTCATGGTCAAAAATATTGTTTCAATGCTTCAGAAGGATAACAACAGGGTGCTTGGCGTAAGAGAAGCATCAACCCTTATAACTATCGAAGTTTACCCCCGGTTGTGAGTCTCCTCTCTGAGACTGTGTATGTGAACCAACAATAGAGATGATGATAATGTGTTTCCTTCCCAGATCATGGAGGACACACAGGCTATTAGTTGGGAGGTTGAAGAAGAGGAGGAGACAGAGAGACCCAATGAATCTTTGGGGCATAGCTTGGAGCCCCTAGGGCGACTACATATCTTCAGTAGTGCCCATGGACCAGAAAAAGGTCAGAGGATGTTGAGTGCTGAAGTACTGGTATAGACCTCTTTATTTTTCTGGAGAGGTGGTTAAGGGTTGTAAGAAGCTTATGCGTATTTTAAAGATATCTGGAAATATTTTTTTTTTACTGAGAATGGAGAAGAGGGGGGTGATTGTGTTGATGGTCCCAAGCAAGTACCCTGGACTCACTGGAGGTGACTTGACTTTGGAAGGAGAAGATGAAGAGATTCAGATAAAAATTCAGCATGGTCTAAAAATGGGTGGTGGTGATGGTTATACAACAGTGTGAATATACTTAATACCACTGAGCTATAAACTTAAAAATGGTTAAAATGGTATCTTTTATGTCTATTTTATCACAAAAAAAGTCTGGTATAGATGAGGTGTTGGCTATGAATGATGCATTACATCATTATCTAGATGTCCTGGGGCCTTTTATTTTTCTAATGCATGCGGGGATCTTGAGCGACTAGTGGGGTACTTAACAGGAACATTTTCCTAATAGCAGGCCACAACTGTGGCCTTGAAACCTATCTACCTCTCTAATTCTTAGATTTCCCACTCTACCTCGGAAAGAATGTGGTAGGCCGAATGCCTGATTGCTCTGTGGCTCTGCCCTTTCCATCCATCTCCAAACAACATGCAGTGATTGAAATCTTGGCCTGGGACAAGGCACCTGTCCTCCGGGATTGTGGGAGCCTCAATGGTACTCAAATCCTGAGGCCTCCTAAGGTCCTGAGCCCTGGCATGAGTCATCGTCTGAGGGACCAGGAGTTGGTTCTATTTGCTGACTTGCCCTGCCAGTACCATCGCCTGAATGTCCCCTTGCCCTTTGTCTCCCGGGGCCCTCTAACTGTAGAGGAGACACCCAGGGTACAGGGAAGAACTCAACCACAGGGGCTCCTGTTGGCTGAGGACTCAGAAGAGGAAGTAGGTAAGTGTGTGTATTGGGAGTGTGGGTGAGGAGATAGGGATGGTGAGTATAAAACTGTCAATTTACTCCTTTCTACCCTTGACAGATTCTCTTTCTGAAAGGTGTGTAGTGAAAGAATCAAGGACCACGTCCTCCCCTGTGGCAACAGTAATTCCAGAGAGGTGAGTGCTGAAGGGCCAGACACCTGAGTCTTCAGAAGAAAGAGGAACCAGGGTCTGCAGAATCTATCTCTAAGAGGAATAATTATCATGAAAATTGGGGCTGGGGAACTACACACATACTCTTTCACTCAGCTGAATTTTTATTGAACATCTTTGATATGCCAAGTAGAGAACTAATTGCTGGAGATAGAAAGACAAATACTATCTTGTCTCTGCCCTCAAGGAGCTCACAGTTGAATCAGGTATCCCTTCCTGGGAAACAGATTCTATAGACCTTTTCTTCTCTTTCCTTCATAGTGATGAAGAGGGGCCTTCCCTTGCCCCAGATGGCCCGGGGCCACCTTTTGCCTTCAACTTGGATAGTGACACAGATGAGGAAGAAAATCAGCAACCAGCAGCAGGGGAGGCTTCCTCAGCTGCCACAAGAGATGCCACTGCAAAGACAGAACAACCGAAAGCTGTCGTAACTGAAATCCAGCTTGAAAAGAATCAGTGTTCAGTGAAGGAGAGGAACAATGACACAAAAATCGAGAGCGATGCGAGGAATGGAGTGGTTCCAATTGGAGTGATTCTGGAGAGGAGCCAACCTGCTGGGGAGGACAGTGAAACAGATGTGGATGATGAGAGCAGGCCTCCAGGAAGGCCAGTTGACCTCCATCTGGAAAGGACCCAGCCTTCTGGCTTCATAGACAGTGATACTGACCTGGAAGAAGAGGGGGTTCCTGCAACCCCAGCTGTAGATCCTATGAAGAAGAGGCAAATCCTCCATGGAGTTAGTACAAACAGTCCTGGGGGACTTGACTTGGCACATCTTCAGGAGACCCTAGCTGATAGTGATACAGATGTGGAGAAGGGTGAGGCCTCACTGATGGTCCCTCTGGAGAGAAGCCAGGCCTCTATGGTGATTGACAGCAATACAGATGACGAGGAAGAAGTCTCAGCAGCACTCACTTTGGCATGTCTGAAAGAGAGCCGAGCTGCTGTGTGGAACAGAGATACCGATGTGGAAGAGGACAGGACACAACCTGTGGCCATTCTAGAGCAAAGCCAAACTTCCTCTGGGAAAGACAGCGACACAGATGTGGAGGAGGAGGGGTTCCTAGTGGAAAAGAGAGAATCTGTCCCTAAGGGTCACGCAGACAAAGCACATTCAGAAAAGAGCCAACCTCCTTTTGGTGACAGTGATATAGAGGTGGAGAAAGATAAGAGCTCACCTGGAGTCCACCTGGAGAGAAACCAAGCCTCTGCCACAATGGGCATCAACACACAAGTGGAAGAGGAAGTCCCACCAGGGCCAGCTATTACACTTCAGGAGAAGCATCAGATGCCTGTGGTACGGACAAATCGAACAAATATGGAAGCAGAAGGGGGCCCAGCAAAGTTGCCTGTGGTACATCTAGAGGAAGCCCAACCTCCTCCAGGTGGGGACTATGAAACAGATGCTGAGGAGGGTGTATCCTTAGCAGCTTTAGCAGTGGCAGATGAAAGAAAAAGCCAGCTTCCAGCAGAAAGGGAAGCAGAATGTGCTTTAGCTGTTCTTGAGCAGGAGAGAGCTCTTGAGGCGGGGGCTCAGGGTGGGTCACCTGTAGCACAAGTGGAGCAGGACCCTCTCCCTGTCTCACAAGAGAACCTAACAGATTTGGTAGTAGACACAGGTACTCCAGGGGAGCCCACCCAGCCACAGAGAAAGGGAGCCCAGCCTCTCACAGAAAGTGGAAGAGAACCACATATGGACAAGACCAAAGACTCTAGAGACAACAATGATGGTAAGTGCTGGCCTGCCTTTCTCCATTAACTCCTAAGATAAAGAAAGCTTATAGGGTGTCTTAATTCAAGCTGCTGTAACAAAATACCACAGAGTAGAAGGCTTATAAACAATAAACATTTATTTTTCGCAATTCTAAAGGCTAGAAAGTCCAAGATCAAGGTACCGGCAGATTCGGTGTCTGGTGAAGGCCCTCTTCCTGGTTCATAGGTGGCCAATTTGCTGTGTCCTCACATGAGAGGACAAGGGGTCTCCTTTATAAGGTCACTAATCCCATTCATGAGGCCTCCTAATGACCCAGTCACTTACCAAGGACCCAATCACTTACCTCCTAATACTATCACACTGGGGATTAAGTTTCAACATAAGAATTGCGGGGGGTGGGGGGCGGTCACAAACATTCAGTTCATTGCATATGGGTTTGGATTGGGGAGAGAACAGTAGAGGAAAAGTAAGGAGTTATGGGGCAAGTATGATTTTTTATTATCCTATATTCCTCCCTCACCAGATTCTGAAGATCTGGACCTACAAGCTACCCAGTGTTTTGTGGAGAGAGAGAATCAGAACCTGGAAGGTTAGGACATCTGTGTCTTGGGGACCTTGGTGCAAGCAGGAGCTGGGAGATTAGACTGGTGGTTCTCGAGGGGTGTGAAAGTTGGCGTGGGCAGGACCGAAGACTGAAAATGGGCCATTGGAGTTTTATGGATGTGCTGTGCTTAGGCCATTTTTTCTTATGTAGCAGTCCAGAGCATGAGGATGAACCTACCCAGGCCTTCCTGTTTACTCTGCCTAAGGGCCTGGCCCTTCACACTGCAGCTTCCAGGCTCCTGTATGAGAAACTCTCCCCTTCTCTGTGCCCTTAACTTGGCATCCTTGTTTTCTCCCTCTACACATTTCTTTCATAATCTTTAATTATTTTGCTGATGTTTCTTCATCTCATTAGGAAAAAAATGCCATATTAAGTTAAACTCATAGAGCAACTAGTCTAACATAATTTTTAAGAGAGCTTTCTTATGATGGTATCGTCTTACTTTTTGGACAGACATTAAATGTTACAACTATCCTTATTCCCAGCTTTCCTTTAATAACCCATATAGATTTATTGTTCATGAATTAATCTTAATACTTTCTCAATCTGTTACCTTCTCAACCTCTCCCCTCCTCTCTGATTCTCTACTTCCAGGTGCCCTGGATGAGCCATGGGAGGTCTTGGCTACACAGCCCTTCTGTCCAAGAGAGTCTGAGGCCTCTGAAACCCAGCCCATTGCTGCCCACCTTGAGGCCCATGGATCTTGCCCTTCTCCATCTAGAGCAATGCGACGAGACCAACATCCAGAAAGCCCAGTTCATGCAGAACCATTGGAGAGTCAAGGCAGAGGGATGCAAACTGTGGAGAGAGGCATGGGTATACCAAGAGAAACAGCAGAGAGGGTGACCCCCAAGAGGGGGCCATTGGGGCGGGAAACCAAGAAACTGCCACCAGAAGGAAAGAGAGAAGATGTGATGGGAGAGGAAGAATTAACCAGAGTGTTTCAGGACAGAGAACAAAAGCAAGTGTTAGCTAGAGCCACTCAGAAACAAGAATCTGATAAAATGGTGAAACGTACAAGTATGGAAAAGGATCCGAAGAGTTTAAAGGTAGAAAATGAGACATCCAAGGAACTACAAGAGAAAAAGGTAGTAGAGCAGACTCTTGGAAGAGAGATATTTGAGAGAAAAGCGGAGAAACTAGCACCAGAGAGAGAGAGTGAGCCAGGTGAGTTAGAGGTCTGCATACCCAAAGCGATACTGGACAGAGGCGCACAGAAAGAGGAGATAGAAAGAGAGAGCCAGGACCAGAAAGGACAGGCCTCCAGTTCGACACCAGAACCTGAAGTAGGGGCAGGGAACCTTCAGGGACTAGCTTCAGCCCTGATAGCTTCCAGGAGCCAGTCAGGTGGAGAAAGGGGAGCCCCAATGAGCCCGAAGAGGCAGCAGAGAGGTGAGTGAAGGTAGAGGGGAACCCAAGTTGTTACACAGCCCTCATAATAACTCCTAAGTAACTGCTTAGACCTCAGCTACACTTGTCTTTATTTTCTGTCTAGGTCACTTGAATTGCAAGATACCACCTGCTGAGGAGCCTTCTAGGGTGAGAGCTGCTTTCTCTACCTCTCTCTACTCCACGAGTTACCTCTGCATCCCCTTCACTACCCCTTCTCCTGACCTTGCTTTCATTTACTCTTTCTCATCTTCATTGTCTTCCATTTTCACCACGCTTTAGTAGGCTTCTCTGTCCCTTTACCATGGCACCTGTTGTTTTCCATATATCTGTTTCCCAAGTTCTGTCTCTTGCTACTTGACTCAGAAAGAAAATCCCTTTCTTTGTGTCCTTTTCCTCTTTTCCCAACCATCCATCATTCATATACTCAGAACACTATACTGGTGTTAGTGGGGACAGGTCCATGGAAAGAAGACTGCTCCCTCCCTAGGAAGTTCTCAGTCTAATGGAAGATGGCCCAGACAGAGAAATGCCAGTGAGCACACTCTAACCCTAAACAAGTATCAAGAACAGTATCCAGTCCTATTTTCCCTCTGCTGCTTCCTGCCTCACTTGCTTCTATTTCTCTGCAGGGTGATCCAGAATCCTTAGATGCTTATCTGCCTCCGACAGTACCTGAAGCTTCATCCCCACTTGAAACCCCCCTTATCTCTCAGAGCCAAAAACATCCTGCACCTCAGCTCCTTTCTCCCTTTCCACCCTCTTTAGAGCCTCCCATTGCTATGACCAGGCAAAATGGGAGTCAGGAAGCTCTAGAGACTCCCTTGTCCTCAGAGCTGGCCCCTCTTCATGCAGAACCCAAAGCCAGGCTCTGGGGGTCCTCCAGGATGACATCTCCAGTTTCTTCTCTAGCTGTGGAGCCCCACCTTACCTCCTCCATAGACCATCCCGTCAGCCCTAAGCCCACATCTTGGGCCACTCGAATCAGGACACGTAGGTTCTCTGAAATGACTCCTGCACCAGTTGTCCCTACGGCCCCTGAGCTTCAATCTTCCACCTCCAAAGACCAGCCTGTAACCCCCAAACCCACATCTCGGGTTACTCGGAGCAGAACACGTAGGTCTTCTGTCAAGACTCCTGCACCAGTTGTCCCCACAGGCCCTGAGTTCCAGCCTTCCATCTCCACAGACCAGCCCATTACCCCCAAGCCCACATATCGGGCCACTCGGGGCAGGACACATAGGTCCTCTGTCAAGACCCCTGAACCAAGTGTCCCCTCAGCTCCTGAGCTCCAGCTTTTCATTTCCACAAACCAGCCTGTCACCCCCAAACCCACATCTCGGGGCAGGACACATAGGTCCTCTGTCAAGACCCCTGAACCAATTATCCCGTCAGCCCCTGAGCTACAGCATTCCACTTCCATGGACCAGCCTGTCTCCTCTAGACCCACATCTCGGGCTACTCGGGGCAGGACACACAGGTCCTCTGTCAAGACCCCCCAATCAATTGTCCTCACAGCCCCTGAGCTCCAGTCTTCTACCTCCAAAGGTCAGTCTGTCACCACTGAGCTCATATCTGGGGCCACTTGGGGCAGGGCACATAGATCTTTTGTCAAGATCCCTGAACCAGTTGTCCCCATAGTCCCTGAACTCCAGCCTTCTACCCCTACAGACCACCCTGTCATCCCCAAACCCATATCTCAGGGCAGGACTCCTAGGTCCTCTGTTAAGACCCCTGAATCAATGGTTCCCACAGCCCCTGAGCTCCAGCCTTCCACCAAACACCAGCCTGTTGCCCTTGAGCCCACATCTCGGGCCACTCGGGGCAGGACACGTAGGTCCTCTGTCAAGACCCATCAACTAGAGTCCACAGCCCTTGACCTTGAATCTCTCAACCCCACTGACCAGCCTGTCACCCGCAAAGCCATAGCTCAGGGTGCTCAGAGCAGGACACTAAGGTCTACAACAAGTTCTGTGCTGGTTTCTACCAAACTTGAATTCCAGTCTCCCACAGACCAGCCTATTCCCCCTGAACTCATTCCTCAAGGCAATTACAGCGGGAGGCCAAGGGCCACTAGGAAGCGTGGGTCCCTTTCAGTTCCCATAATTCATGAACCTTGCTCTGCACCCCCTGAACCTAACTCCCGGTCCTCAAGGAACCAAAGGCGAGGAGCAGTGAAAGCAGCTGAGTCCCGTAGGACCATTCCTGCGCCTGCCTTTGCCCAGATTCCTGAGGCACCCACTCATGCTCCTCAGATCCAAAAGGCAGAGGAAGCAGGTAGATACGGGTTCACCCCAGAGCCCCAGCCTAAGGCCTCTCAAAACCACAAGAGGCCTTTAGGTACTGCGGATTTACCCCCACTTCAAAAACGGCTCCAAAGAGGGGAAGTCTCCCAGAAGACAGCATTCCTCAAGGAAAAGGAAGACCCTGCAGAGAGGCCAGGGAAGGAAGAGGTGAGGAGAGAGCTGGGGCTACAGAGTTGGGAAAGGACTCGGGCTCCGAAACTCCCACTAAAATCCTTCTCAATCCCAGGATGTAGTGATTACAGGACCAGGAAAAAGAAAGAGAGACCAGACCGAGGAGGAGCCCAAGGGAATGCCAGGCCGCAGCCTCCGACGGACCAAACTTAACGAGTCCACAGCCCCCAAAGTAGGAGAAAAGGGGCATGGGGCTTTGTTGGAGTAGATGTGGGAGGATGGGAGGAGACCTAAGGGATTTGGGAGATGAGCCTGGTTGCTGTGACCAGCTCAGGCCAACCCCCTCCACAGGTGCTCTTCACAGGAGTGGTGGATGCCCGGGGAGAGCGGGCAGTGCTGGCCCTGGGGGGAAGTCTGGCCAGCTCAGTGGCAGAGGCATCCCACCTGGTGACTGATCGAATCCGCAGGACTGTCAAGTTTCTGTGTGCCCTGGGGCGGGGCATCCCTATCCTTTCCCTGGACTGGCTGCACCAGGTGAGAGGCCAGGAGATAATGACAAACCAATCGAGAGAGTGACTAGAAGACTGCTCACATAGCACTCTAGAAAGTGGTGGGAGGAAAGCAGGTACAGGAGAAAAGGGTAGGGCTTGATTCAAAAAACACTGACTTCTGGTGTAGCCATAGTTGGCTAATGCTACCACTAACCCAGAGGTGCAGCTGCTGCTTCTAGTGAAATCACACCAGAAGGAAGAAGGATTATTAAATTAGACCAGATTTTGTTAAATGTAAATAATATGCTAGCTTCTGGAGGAGAACCTAAAATATGAATGAATTCCCTTGACTTATGCTAGATTCTTTTTCTTATAATGATAACAAAATACACATTTTTTAAAAACCTTTCAATGTTTGGATTATGTGAAGCTGTTTCCTGTTAAAAGGGAATGCTTTGAAAAGGCATTATAAATGCCATTTTTATGAGTTAATCATGATATCCTAGGGGAAAGAAGACTGAATTAAAGGTGTTTTTGGTTAAAAAAAAACACACACACACACACACACTTGCACTCCCCTGAAAATGCTAAGCAGCAGAGTTGGGTGACGGGGCTGGCCTGAGCTTTGATGCTGACTGGTACTGTCCTCAGTCCCGCAAGGCTGGTTGCTTCTTGCCCCCGGATGAATATGTGGTGACTGATCCTGAGCAGGAGAAGAACTTTGGCTTCAGCCTTCGAGATGCCCTGAGCCGGGCCCAGAAGCGAAGGCTGCTGGAGGTGAGAGAGAGGCTATCTTCCTCCCTATGCTTCAGCCCTCCCTCCAGAAGTTTCTTAACAGTCCATGCCTCTAAGTACAGATATCCACTGTCTCCACCATTTTCTTCCTCTTAGGGCTATGAGATTCATGTGACCCCTGGAGTTCAGCCACCTCCACTTCAGATGGGAGAAATCATCAGCTGCTGTGGAGGCACTGTCCTATCCAGCATGCCCCGGTCCTATAAGGTATAGGTGGTATGTTCTGGATCTGCTGAGGTGGCAGCTAAAGAGGTGGCTAGAATGGCAAAGAGTTGTAGGACAAAATGGAGGTATAGCTGGGAATATAGAGTAGTGAGAAGAGTGGATGAAGAAGTACAGAAAAGGATAGGAATGAAGGAAGAGGTCTGCAAATACCACATGGACTTATTTTTATTTGGTATTTTTAAAAATTTCAAATATATGCAAAAAGAGAACAATGCAGTGAACCTCCATATACCAAATACACAGATTCAACAGGTTAATTTACATTTTGCTACATTTGCTTTCTATTCCTTTTTTCTTTTTCATTTTCTTTGCTGACATATTTGAAAGGAAACCGCAAACATTATTTACTTCTACATCCTTGTAGTACACATCTCTAAGAAATATGTACGTTTTCTTTTACATAATCACAATGCCATTATTGATACATAGCAAAATTAACAATGGTGTCTCGGTTATTGTCTCATACTCCATTAATCAAATTTCTGCAGTTGTCTGAAAATGTCTTTTTACAGTTCAGTTCAGGTTTCAAACAAGGTCCATGTATTGCCACAATTGTTATATCTCTCAATTCTTCTACTCCAGAGCTTACCCTAACCCACCCAGCCTTTTTTATGCCATTGACTTTCTGCAGAAATTAGGTCAGTTGTCCTTTAGAATGTTCCTCAGTATGGATTTTTATGTTTGCTTCCTTGTTGTGTCATTTATCTTATTCTTCTATCTTTTATATTTCCTGTAAATTAGTTAATTTTAAATGCTTCAGTAAATTCAACTTTTCTGGCAAGAGTACTTCATAGATAGTGCAGTGTGCTTCATGTGGCTTCATATCCGGAGGTACCATTTTAGTGATGCAAAGACTGATGAGTGGGTCCTAACCCTATTTCTAGGATTCTTTTTCACCTTTGACTTTCTGTCTTTTCTCTCTCTCTTCCCCAGCCTCAGAGAGTTGTGATCACATGCTCCCAGGACTTTCCTCGATGCTCCATTCCATTTCGGGTTGGCCTGCCCATCCTTTCACCTGAGTTCCTGCTAACAGGAGTGCTGAAACAGGAAGCCAAGCCAGAGGCCTTTGTTCTCTCCACTTTGGAAATGTCATCCACCTAAAAACTCTACCCCAGTACCCTTTTCCCTCCCAGACCATTAAATGAAGTGTTAGAAAATATTTGGAAGAAAGAACTTAGGGCTTTAGAAAGGAATGGGGTATATTAATCTGATTTGTCTTAAAACATGGGTGGGGCCGAAAAGGCTTAGGGGAAAACAAAGTTAGGGAGCTTGGGAGCAACAGATTTTTTTAAATGGCCATTTAAAGTTGGCTGATCTTTTGTTGAGATATCTTAAGTAGTTCTATCTTTAGCTGGACTGATGTATTTATTGCTGGGACTGATGTACTTATTGCTCAGTGGCACAGTGTCCTGCCTCCCATTTGAAAGCCATCTCTCTTCTTTTCTTTCTGGGATTCTTATCCTCTGAAAGATAGTGGAAACAATTTTGGTATCAGGAACTTGAAGGGATGCTTGAATTATGAGGGTGGAGTTATGAAATGCTACTAAAATATTTTCCTCTCTCCTGGCCCCATCGTGTTAGAAGCGTCCTGTAGCTTTGAATTTGAGCAAGTCTCTGCACTTTTCTGGCCTGCTTTTCCAGTATTTATAAATTGGAGTTTAGGCGTAACCTCTATGATAAATAAATATTCAATCTGTGCCTTATGGTGTAAAGTTTTCTTTATATATAACATTTCTTAAATTTAAGTTTTTAAAAGTTGTTTGATTTACAAGGCTATGAAGAAGTTGGAACCCTTATACATTGCTGGTAGAAATGTAAAATGGTTTAGCCACTATGGTAAACAGTTTGATAGTTTCTCGAAAAGTTAAATACATCACTACCAAATGACCCAGCAATTCAACTTGTAGGTATACACCTCAATTAAAACACTTGTTCACACAAATGTTCCTATCAACACTTTTCACAAGAGCCAAAAGGTGGAAACAAATGTTCATCAGCAGGTGACTAGATAAACAAATTGCAGCATACCAATACAATGGATTATTATTTAGCTGTAAAAAGGGATGAAGTACTGATTCATGCTATAAGGCTTTGAGGATGAACCTCGAAAGCATTATGCTAAGTGAAAAAAGCCAGACACAAAAGTTCACGTCTGATTCCACTTATATGAAATATCCAAAATAAGTAAATCCATAGAGATAAAGAGCAGATTGGTGGTTGCCAGAGGGTGAGGGGATGGAAATAATGAGTACAGGGTTTTATTTTGGGGTAATGAAAATGCTTTGGAACTAGACAGGTGGTGGTTGCACACATAAATACTAAATGCCACTGGATTGTTCTCTTTAAAATTGTTATGTGAATTTCACTTCAATAAAAAAAAAGTTCATTAGTTTTGTACATTTTTCTGCAGGTTATACCTAAGTTTGGAAAATGTAGCATAAGCTTTGCCAAACACTGTACTGACTTTTAAATATACTTAATCTCTTAATATATTTAAGCACAGCCTTTGTGGGTGTGGCACACGGTAGGACCCAAATAAATGTTAGTCCCCTTGCACAATTCAAAGCCTCATACTGTGTGAAACTGTCCATGTCTTTAAGGTCCATCGAATTCCTTACAGTACCTGCTGTCTCTATAGCCCCATTTAGCACTCACTTAATGACTGGTATCATTTAAGTGTCTCAGTTTAAACTTCTAGGCAATAGGGATCTTACACTTCCAACGAATCCCACAGCTTGTAGCACATCGTGTAATAAGTGTCTCTATCAGTCAGGGTCCTGGCAGGAAACAATGGTCCAGTCAAATTAGGATAATTTGAGGAGAGTTTAATAAAGTAAAAATTACCAAGAAGTAGGCAGCATGTAGAGAAATCACAAAGAATACTGCAGTACCCACAGCTCTGTGGTGACCTCTAAATTCGAAAGGATGATTTTTATTGATGTAGTCCATTCAGGACAGCTTACTCAAGCAGAAAGCGCGATGGAGTGGATCTGGAAGGAAAATATGTCTAGTACAGTATACAATAGCGTTGATTGAGAGGAGGAATAAGGTTGATTCAGAGGAGGGTGGGAGTACTGAACTTCGGGGAGGGAGAAGGAATATGTAGAGCCTGTGAGTTGCTGCTTGGCAATTTTCTCATCCGTGAGCCCACGGGACTAACAGCTCCTTAATTCTCATCTTGGGAAATTTTATCTCTTTGGGCTTGTTCTATAAGTTGAGGGAATTGGCTTAACAATGTCTAAGGTCGTACCATGGTGATAGCTACTGTAAGTATATGATCTTTAAATCCGATGGAGAAAAAAACCCTTTTACTTTGCTTTTTAGACATGAATGTTAGTCTATATCACAAACAGGTCTGTAAGGGAAATATGTTTAACAAAAGATCTTAGTTGTTTCTGACTAATGGGGTTGCAAAGTCATTGATAATCACAAACTTGGATAAAATTAATCTACTGCAAGGTTTACAACTGTAATAAAGCTTTCTACCATATTTTCACATTTATACTCTCATGGTTACAAATCAACCTTTGGCATTAGAACAAATCTTTTAGTATTACAGAGCAGTTCTTTGCCTTTCTTAGCAAGTGGAGAAGCAACAACTAAACTTTTTAGTAAGTTACAGAACAAGCATTAAGTTATTTTGCGGTAAAATAGTCGCTAACTCTTTTTTTCAGTCTAATAAGATGTAATAGGTGACTGAGCTTTAGGTTCTCAGCCGTCGTCTCACCGTTCATTATTAAATGTTAACTGAGGCATGAGAACCTCTGACTCTGGCTGTTTTCCAGCCAGGGCTATTAAAGAAGGGGGGTTCCTATTGCTGTTTCCACAAGAACCCTGCAAAAGAAGAATTGTCTTCATTTTAGATGGAAAAATTAGCTGAGGTGGAATTCAACCGACGTGAGTGCTGCTGAGCTGCTGCTCTTTCACCTCTCACTTGGGATTCTAACCTTCCCTCTGTGACGTGGGGACTGCAGGCTCCGGAAAAGCAACCCGGCCTTGGCTTTGCAGCGGTCGGCAGAAGCAGCAGGCGGGAAGCCCTGGCGTCAGCGCGCAGAAGACCCACCCCCCTGGGCAGGATCCCAGACGAGAGGCGGGGCCGGAGGCGGGGCCTGCGCCCGCGGGAACCTCAAGCCCACCCCCTTCCCCGCCCCTCGGTTTCTCGCCATGGCCACTGCATTGCTCCTGGTCCCTGCCGCCCTTGCCTCTTTCATTCTGGCCTTTGGCACTGGAGTGGAGTTCGTGCGCTTTACCTCCCTTCGGCCACTTCTTGGAGGGATGCCGAAGTCTGATGGTCCGGGTGAGCGGGAGGGATCGAGGATAAGCTCTGGGGTAGGGAGGTGGAGCCCAAGGAAAGGGAGCGGGGGCGGGGTTTGTACCTGAATGACCGGGGAAATGTGGGAGTGGGAACTAGAGCCGAGTTTCTCAGAGAAACTGCAGAAGAGACCTGAGAGCTAAATTAGAAACTCAAGGATTAGCGATTTGGAGAGGCTGGAAAGTGAGGACTGAGGCGGTGGGAAAGGGCGATAAACAGTGTATGCTAGGAAAGTACTTTGTAGAGAGGACTATGGAGAGGAGAGTATTAAAAAAAAATAAAAAAAAGAAGCAGCATTTAGAGAAGCGATATAAGGGTGGCCTCTCCTGCTATGTCTTTGAAACTGCCCAACAGGAATCATCTTCCCCAGCTCTGAAGGAGGCCTGGGAAAGAGGAAAGAAACTGGGAATGGGGAAGTGAGGTGATCAAAGCCTAGAAAGGAAGCATTAAGGCTCTTGAAAGCATTAAGGAACCCCATCTTGAAAGCTTGGGGCCCCAAGAGGAGATGAGCATAAGGTGTTTCCCACCATCTTCTTGTTTATTTGTCACTTTCTCCAACTCCCCCTAGATGCCCACCAGGGATGGCTGGCTGCCTTGCAGGACCGAAGCATTCTTGCCCCTCTGGCTTGGGATCTGGGGCTCCTGCTACTATTTGTGGGGCAACACAGCCTCATGGCAACTGAGACAGTGAAGGCATGGATGTCCCGGTACTTTGGGGTCCTTCAGAGGTCATTGTATGTGGCATGCACTGCCTTAGCCTTGCAGGTATGAGGCCCTGGCAGCTGGGTCCCCAAGGGAAACAGAGTCTAGAAGGATGCCCTAGATTGCAGAGGCAAAGACCTTTGGCTTCTCATAAAATGTAGGTTTAGGAGGGGAACTGAGGGTGTTCAGGACTCTAATCTCAGCTTCCATTCCTCTACAGCACAAGCCCTACTTTTTATCAAGAAGGGTATACTGCTTGTCATTCCCCAAGCATGCATACCAAGTGCATTCTCACCTCTGCCACTGCTTGAGATCCTTTCCTTAACTCCTCTTCAACCCTACTTTCTTCTAAACCAAGGGAAGGCTTCCCACTTAGTACTCATCTATCTTCTCAATGGATGCTTGGCATAAGCTACTTTGTACACTTCTCTGGATGGAGTGACCAGAGAAGTACACAAAGTAGCACCCCCCACTATGATGCTCATAGTAAAGCTAGGGAGAGCTTCAGGCCAGCCTGGGGTGGGGGCATCCTCTGGGTCTGGGTCTCTGAAGGGTGGGTTGCTAGGATACCCAGCCTCTCATCCTTCCTTAGCTGGTGATGCGATACTGGGAGTCTGTTCCCAGAGGTCCTGTGCTGTGGGCAGCTCGGACTGAGCCATGGGCCACCTGGGTGCCCCTCCTGTGCTTTGTGCTCCACATCATTTCCTGGCTCCTCATCTTCAGCATCCTTCTCGTCTTTGACTACGCCGAGCTCATGGGCCTCAAACAGGTGAGGCTCCCAGATCCCTACCTGAGACCTCTGATCTTTTCTAGGCCTCTTTCC